TTATCCACTTTTTCCCCATTAACCAGGACTTCTATAGCGTAGCGTAGATAAACTTATACGTAGCGTAGCGTAGATAGAGTGTAGAGCGACTCGCACCAAAGCGAGCGCTGTGGCGCGACGCCATCGTGCCCCACGGGGACTTCCTATCTTTTCCTCTCGTCGGGAAAAGCGGCAGGTAGGCCGTAGGCCGTGCCGCTCCCAGACGAGGCCTGTTCAACGACTAAGTACCTTAACTTGGAGTTTGTATCGCTCTCAAAATCTGAGAAAAAATGAATTATAGCCAATGAAAACAGCCCAAAATGGGTGCAAAGGGGTTAGGTCGGTTAGGTCGTCGTAGGAGCGGTCAATTAATGGGCTCTCCCACAGAGATACAGTAACTAACGTTAGTTACTGTTGGAATGTGGCGACACAGGCGGTTACACTTGTACTACGAGTACTACCTATGAATCTCCTACAAACATTCTAGATATCAATCGACTGCAGTTGTTGCATAGTTAGCAGTCTACTAGCTGGCTAACACTACATATAACTACTTCCGAATTGACTCGGTGCTTCCAACCCTGTGCAGACACGAAGCTCAACAGATACAGTGGCTGGCGTTGAAAACGAGTTTCCCCTTCAGGCAACTGCTTCCCGTGTTGACTATAGGCGGGCAAGTGTTGTGCCAATCCCACGTCATCACTCGAGATGATATCGTGTGTTTGACGGGGCTATACCCCTCTGAAAATCGGTTGCTGGCGTGCCGCGCGGACGTAATCACTGCACTACATTGAGGACATCATGCGTAAAATGCACCCAACTTTTCACGAGAGTTATTCAGGGAAGACCGAGGTGCTGAACAAGAAGCTGGCCATCGTGACGTTCGCCGAGATGTTTACGATGCTAGAGGCGCTGCTGGCGTCGTCGGGGGCAGCTGGCCCGTGGTTATTGAGCGGCATAACGCTGGCCGACTTAACGTGTACAATATGGTGTGTATGATAAAGACTGATGTGTCCAAAATTGAAAGAACAATACAGTACGTTCATACATACTATTGATGCAAGTAGTCCACTATGTTTTACTTCTTGTGGGCTTCGTTCCACGCGGCAACCTTGGGGTGGGCGGCCACTGCGTTGTGAATGGTCATGATCTTGGTGTAGTGGTCGCAAATGGTGGTAGGGATGTCGTCCATGAACCCAGACTTCATCATCGACACCATACAATACACGTCCAAGTCGGCAATCGAGATCGCGTCGAGAAACCACGGACCCTTCGACCCCGACGACGCCACGCGGGCTTCGAGCAAGGCAAACATCTCAGGGAACGTGGTCGACGCCAGCTCAACACGCATCGCCTTCTTCTTGGCGGGGTCGGCTTCGCGGAAGCTGGGGGTCGCCTTTTGCATAAAGTCCTCGCAAAAGTCGGTGATTTCGTCCACGCGGCACGCATCCAACCGGTTTTCGGTGGGGTACAAGCCAGCCAACGAACCAGCGTACCGGGCAATGGCATGCGACTGACACAGCACGTGGCCATCTACGGTGAGCGCTGGCAGCTGCCTAAACGGTAAAGAGGGCTTCAACGCAGCCCATTGTTCGCGTTGCAATCGCTGGTCTTCGAACGGCACGCCGCCGATGGTCAATGCCAAACGGACGGTCTCGGCCCGACCGGCCATGTCAAAGTAGGTCACTTTCAGAGCGGGAAACGTCATGTTGGGATGCAAAGGGACAAATCGAAAATGAAAAGAACTAAGGATATCTTGATGAAGCTGAGTACAGTACCCAAGGAAGATACCTTCAAGTGCAACTTGACGTTTGTATATTGTGGTTCTACAGTACTGTATCCCTGATGACGACAGCCTCGAGCTTCGCAATCCAACAAACGAACGTTCGAGAACCTGACTACTAGTATTCGTTACGAATACACGGGGTCGTTTCGACTCTGCAGTACATAGTGCCTAGAGGAAAATACATCTTTAAAGCACCGTATATACTGTAAGACATTTCCCATTTGGAGGGCGATGAGGGGGACTGCCTCAAATGCGTTTTGCGCGGGAGCTTCGATTTTCAAGCACTTTGCATAAGTATATACGGTAGTATCAGCGACGCATCACCCCTAATGCGTGAAGTAGTCGCCAAACTTTGGTCGAAAATGAGCGATTTCAATGTCATTTGTGGACGGGTACCGTAGGTACACGGCCGCCGTAGCAAGTTTAGGCTGGAGTATACGTATAGTACTAGTACACGTTTTTGCAAGGCCTCCAACGTCATCAAAATCGACATGGCAGTAGTTGCTACCTACGGGTAAACTCGAAGGTCATTTGCCCTTATCCCCCAAAACAACACAAAGAAACTAAGTCACTCCAATGACCACCCGCGCTCAAACTCACTTATTTTGACTTTACCGGACATGCGGAGCCCATTCGACTGGCGTTAGTGCTTGGGGACATTGCATTTGAAGACGAGCGCATTACATCTGCGCAGCTGTCGGAGTTGAAATCGACGCTACCCTACCGTCAACTACCGGTTTTGACCATCAATGGGACTGCCGCATATGCCCAATCCCACGCGATTGCTCGCTTTGTTGCCCTTTCGGGGCTGAATTCGACCGACGACCTCCAGCTCGCGCTTGCCGTGGACGAAATCGACGACTTTGCGTCAGAAATTCTCGAGCTGATGCTGTCCACCCATTCAGAAGCGGACAAGGACAAGAAGAAAGCCGTTTGTGAGGCACTTGTCAACAGCAAACTCGCAGACATGCTGGGCCTTCTCGAAGCCCGACTGGTTCAATTGAAACAATCCAATGCGGAAGGGGGGAAGGGGGAGGCGTGGGTGCTGAACGGACGCTTGTCCACGGCCGACGTGGCGGTTCACGGCCTCGTCAGTATGGCCAAGCTGGGCTGGCTTGAGTTCGTTCCCACAACGTTGTGCGAGGGTTTCCCGACATTGGTCTCGATTCATCATGCTGTGGACACGCACCCAAAGGTCGTGGCGTGGAAGCAGTCTCGTGCGTAGAAGAATACACGTACTAACGAGGTAGTTGAGATATGGATCCCCTTTTCATGGGAGTACTGCAATGAAAATCCTAACTACAACGTACTACTTTTTTCAACAAGACAACGCTTCATGTGTCGCGAGCTACAAAAGCGCACATTGAGCGAAGCGGTGTTTTATTGATGGAATGGCCTGCTAATAAGAGCCCTGATTTTAACCCAATCGAAAACATTTGGAGTCAATTGGCGTGGAAAGTTTACGAGAATGGCCGTCAATTTTCGACTGTGGACGAACTGAAGACTCAAATTCGTGTTCCCTGGGATCAAATCAGCCAAGCCTATTTGCGTAAGCTTGTTGATGGAATGCCAACTATTAATAGAATGGCCCAAGTAGTGTTGAGAAACGGTAATGCAATTGATAATTAACCCGCTCGGATGGGAAGCACTGATCTAGCTAGCAAAGTGCGTCTATAGTTTGCATCACCCTGAAAAATGTTTTTTTTGTAATTTTCAAAAATAGTACTTCGAATTTTATAGTTTTGTCACCAACAATGTATTTCGAAACTTAAATAAAGTATCATATCAAAACAGCGACCTTCAAAGCGAAATAATTTTTGAGAAATGTCAAAAATTCACGTGCGTCTATAGTTTACATCAGTACTGTAGTACAATACTCATTACCTGGGGGATGTGTACTGGCCAAAAGTGCCTATGCACAACATGAAAGAAGTGATAACGTTATCATTTCGTAATTGTACTTCATGTAGCAGTAGTCGTACTGTATTAGTACTACTACGTAGTATTAATAGTAGTACTTGTACTACGTATTAATAGTACTACGAAGTACTGTAGTTAATTTTGTCAAGCACTCCTGTGACAATGCTCTTTATTCGATCGTCAGTGCCGTGAAGTGCAAACTTCACTCTGTTACTTTATTCTCACTAACAGTTATTAATACCGGTATGACAAAGTGCAAACACTTTTACTTTATTGCTACCATGCACCCCATGTATGAGTTGAGGTTTTCACTAATTGTGCGCTATAACATGCTGACTGACGTTGAAGCATTCGAAAATACGCGTTAAACGTTAAACGTAGTTGTCGGTCTAAGTTGGACTCACCATATTAAGAGGGTTTCAGCAACCCAGTCCGTCAAACTTTTTCAGTGAACGACGACAGGGATCAAAGAGGTGCCCTTCAGAGCATGCCTCGTACGCCTCATGGGGTCGTTGTACATGCACCGTATGGCAACATCCGCATTATGCCATTTTGGGCCAGATTTTGCCATTTTTGACCCAAAAACTCCATTTTAGGGCAAAATGACACTTCGAGAACTTCACTTGGCGCGTCTGGGAAAAGTTGGGAGAATCTTTTTGTTTTGACATTTTGGCGTCAAATGGCATTTAAAAAATGTAGGTCAATAGTCTTTTTTCGAAATGAAATTTTGTGTGAATGTCGTCGGCAAATGCCAATCGTGACGCAACTTTAACAGTTAGCGCAACGCATGTCATATCCGTCAGTCATGCCATTCCTATGCTCCCATGAATCCCGCTGAACCTCCAACATATACACATTTTCTGCATAGCTCGATCGGTCAGTGCCAACACACACGTAACATTCCTTGCTCGCGCGACCAATTTCCGCTAAACCAAGTCGCCGAACCGATGCTGCAACTATCGAAGAAGGTGTGAAAGTTCTGTGAGGAGGTATGATAGGACTATCATACCTCCTTGGACAAGTACAGTTCGTTGGGCGGAAGAGGTGTCGAGGGTTGCAGGAGGGTACTGTAGTGGAACTAATGTGAATATGGCTACAGTAATTGGGATTTGGCCCAATTTGAAATTATTCCAAGCAAACTCGATTTTTTCGTCTCGCAAAATGCCATTCATTCTCTTTCCATAATTTGCCTGCCTAACACTAAATCACCATGGACGGATGTTGAATTATTAGTATCAGTTTTACTTGGTCGTTTGTAATAACGTGTTTTCATAAAACACGTTTTATTTCCAATATCACCTGAAGTGGAGATAACTAACACTTGCACCTGCCCGACGATGGCAACACCAGCACCGGCGGCAGCACCCGGCAACAACGCCATGACATCGCCTCTATGCGTCGTCCTACGGGGCTGTCGTAACCTCTTGGCTGTGGACGGGATGCAGACCAACAACAACGTGCATTGCGAAGTGTACCTCATCGAAAAGGACGGCCGGCTGCGCGCACCCAAGTTCAAGACCAAGAGCATCAAAGCGACTGCCAACCCCATGTACAATCTCCGATGTGACTTTGGGTCACCGTCCTTCGACGCCGTGGGTGGCCTAGTGGTATCGATTCGGCACACGGGCGGTCTCGGGTTCAAGGGATGCGACCTCGGCGAAGTTGTGCTCACTCCGGCTGATCTCCTCGACATGAAGCTGGTACCTACCGTCCTCGTCCGTCGTACTTCATCCTTCCACGTCCTTACCATCCACGTAGCAAACCAACGTGGACGGGTGGTTCGATGTCGTGGCGACTCCCGACATGGCGACCAAAGGCCTGGCGAATCATCCGCTAGGCCAAGTCCGACTCGGCCTCGACGACGCCGCCGCCGAGCGGCCCACAGCGACATCCATCGACGACGCGCCCGCCCTGGCACCACTTCCTCCGCCTGCCACATTCACGTCCGTGGCCACGATGGCCAAGCTATCATCACGCGCGTTTTCCACATGCGACGTCCACCACGATCCCCGCCTCGAACTCTCGATGCTGCGCAAGTTCGCCAAGCTGTATCCCCAGCGCGGCGAGACCTGGTTCGTCATCTCGTCTTCATGGGTGAAGCAGTGGCTGTCGTTCGTCACGGACGCGTCCAATGACGCGCTCTTTCCCGGCGAACTCAGCAACATGGCACTTGTGGATGATGCGTTGGAGGCCGGGTTGCTTCAAATCCGGCCCGACGTAGCGTTGATCTCAGACTTTCGGTACGTACGTCTGTTCTAACCATAGTCACATTGCATGTGGGTTGTATATGGTGACGAAGTATTAAGAATATATTCGCCATAAATTTGCAAAATTCGCGTGGTTTGTCGAATCAGTATTGAGTCATGCTGGAGTTCTGATTGGTTAAATATAATTGTAAGAGCCAATCAAATCCACTCAAAAAATGGATTAGCCAATAGCGTCGATTCGTGATTCGATTCGACAAGATCTGGACATTCGTACCGAATCCATGAAATATTCCATTTGCATCGTTTTGATTTGAGAGGATATCCTATATGAACGTCTGTGAGAATGCAATCATGTCTATATATATATATATATATTAGAGTCTGTTAAAGTTGGGTGATATATTAGAATGTCTGTATCATTTTTTTCTGGTAGTTTGGTGGATGGCGAGACGTGGGCTTTGTACAAGGCGTGGTATGGTGGCGGGCCGACGATTTCTGTGCGCATTCCAGAGGAAATTGCCAGCGTCAGTGGCTGGATGAAGACGATGGTGCTCAAGGACGAAGCTCAAATTGAAGCAACGTAAAGCCAATATGTAATGCATGGCATAATGTATCGTGTGGATCTAAGTGACTGCACTTTGCAGCTACTTAAGTGTCGAATAGGCCAAGGCGATACCTTCTTTTTCATTCCTTTCCCATCAACAGATCGATGGCGTTCTTGATGCTTGAAAGGTGAATGATGCACACATTGTATTGACAGATAAATCCTGTCATTTTACATTGAAAGCCTGGCGGTTATACAGAGTTAGGGGTACGTTATTCTTGCTGCAGCCCCTCTGGGATGGTTGAGTTATACTACGTAGTAGAACCATTCCACATTTGAAAAACAAAAAAGACCTGAAGAGCAAAGCGGACGCTCTGTTATTTGACCTACATCCCCAATAATATACCCCCCGATGTAACTTTATTGATAGGATTAACGTTAACGTTAAGCTTAGTACTATTCATACAGTAGTACTAGTACAGTATAACTTAGATTCGGCATGAATTTCTGGACTCCCACCCAATCGATGTTGACAGCAACCTCGCCGAGGCATTTGATTGGTTAATCTGAAATTTCGTATCGCGGATTGGTGGAAATATTCTTTCTGTTTTCCATGTCCTTTCTACGGATTATTGGTTAACCAATCAACGAGGGCCAGTGAACAAAGTACTTCACCAATCAGATTGCAGGAAACCATCATCAACATCTAATTAGTGTACATTGACTTGTACAGTTGATTAATGTGATTGGCATCCCCACATGACAACTTTCTTCTTAACTACAAAATTCGAGTACAATAATGAATCGATCGATAGATTTGGCGTATAAGCACACAACTCCAAATACAGTATACGTATACTAGTGGCTTACAAGCAGCAGCAGTCCCAGTCATGCCACGTCACGGTCAGCTCGATCAGGTTTTGATGTGATGCATTCGTTGCCATGTGGGACTGTCGAAAATGATTGGTGGGTTCGGAAACCTTCCAGCCAATCATATCGCTGTATTCCAGATCCCAATCACACGTGCTTCATTTCTCAACTCGCCATGTTCCGCTCGCTCGTTCTCAAGCCTGCCGCCGCCGCCGCGCGCTTCGTGCACACGGAAGCCCACATCAAGGAACTCGGATATGTCCTTCCCGCCGTCGCCACCCCCAAGGGTAACTACCGCAACTCGGTGCGGTCGGGCAACCTCATCTTCACGGCTGGACACTTGCCGCAACCCGCGGGCGGGGAGCTCATCAAGGGCAAGATCGGCGTGGACCTGACTGCCGAACAAGGCTATGAAGCCGCGCACCACGTCGCGCTTGCGCTCGTGGCGACGTTGAAGCAAGAACTCGGCGACTTGGACCGCGTCAAGCGCATCGTCAAGGTCGTGGGGTTTGTCAATTGCGTCGACGGGTTCACCGCGCAGCCGTCTGTCATTAACGGCACGTCCGACACCCTCGTCAAGATCTTTGGGGACCGTGGCATTCACGCGCGTTCGGCCGTCGGGACCAACGCGTTGCCGCTTGGCATTCCTGTAGAAGTCGAAATCATCGTCGAAATCCAAGATTAAGCGTCTCTCCATAGCAACAAGACTACATGTAACGAACGTTCTCATATCAGTGTCCTTGTTATGCTTGTCCTCTAAATCTCGACATGTCGTCCGCCGCGCCCTACGTTGACATGCGGCGTCGGGGGTTGCTGCGGCAGCGGCGGCGGCGACCCCGTCCGTTCTCCGCGGGATTGCTGCAATACCCCCGTCGTGGCTTGGAACGGCGCCGCGTACGGATTGTGTCCATTTTGTTGGCCGCCTCCGACATACTGCACCGACGATGCCGGGGGTACTTGATGGTTGGTGCGCTGTTGAATATTGTACCCGCCACTGTTGTTGTAGGTCGAAGCATTCGAGTAGTTTTGACGGGGCGTCATCCGGGCGTTGCTGTTGTTCCCATACTTTTGCTGGGATGGAGGTGGTGGCGAGTGGTTGTGGTTGGTGCTGTTATGGCGTCGGAATTGAGACACTTGGGATGAAGTCGACGACGTTGACTTGGACGACGAGTTGCTGTGGCTTCGTGGCCGGTCCTGGTCGGTCGGCTTGCGAGGGTGGTGATTGTTTGTGCGTTGAGATGGCTGTTTAATGTGTGGTGAGTTGTTTGGTTGCTGTTGTTTGGTCCAGGGCGACCCCGGAACAAACGGCGCGACATTTGTGGGCGGCGGCAGCGGCAACTTCATCGCAGACGGCTGCGTCGGCAATGGCGGCTGCACCTCCTTTTCTTCGTCCAAGAGCGTGATGCGGAACTTGACGTCGTCGTCGTCCGTGTTGGGTTCCATGCCCATGACCTTGCCAGGGAACGCCAACGCGCCATCGGCGCCCTTGGGCTGTCGGATGCCCGACACGGGGCCTTCTGGCGCCGCCACGACGTGGATCACGCGCTGGGCGGGGTTCTTTGTGCGCGGCACTTTGGGCAGCAAGATGGACGCGACTTCTGGCAGCAATTGGGGCATCGACAACGCCGCCGCCGACGAAGATGATGACGACGACGCAAGCGAGTGGGGGACGGACGACGACGGCGGCTTGCGGGCCTCTTGCGCGTGCCGCACCGTCTTCATGAGCCCCGCGACTTCGTCCCGCGACTTGCGGTTCAACACAGGGTCTTGCCTCAAGATCACTCGAAGTCGAGCGTTCACGGTCGTGAGTTCGTGGTTGTCGGCGTCGAGCGTTTGCACGTGATTTTGGAGGTTCACAAGACCCAGCTGCAGTGCGTTGCGTTCGCACACGACTTGGTGCAGTTCGTGCTGCAAGTGGCGGATCGTGTCGACACCTTGCGCCGATTGCAACCGAAGCGTCTTGTGTGTGTCCTTGATGCGGACATGGGCTAGCTTGAGGAACTCGACTTCTTCCTGGAGTTTGATGGCGCGGTGGTTGGCGGCCGTGAACGACGCGCCATTTACGTACGCTCCGCGCTCCATGTGGTCCTTTTCTTTCTTGAGGGTTGCGTTTTGTGCCTTTAGCGCAGCATTCGACTCTTTGAGCAGCGCCATCTCAGACCGCAATTGGTCAATCATGCCACTCGCGCCTTCCAACTCTTGATCCAACCCAGGAGCGTCCTGAGTATGTACCAACATTATAAGTATATGTGTGTGATACATAGAGGAGATGTACACTTGTAAACAGGAAATATAATATTAAAATTTTCCATGGATGAAAAAAATAATGTCAAACTTGAACGAAATAAAATTTCAACCCCATAAATATTCTCTTGGTGTTATATATGAACCATAATATAAACCCCTAAACACATATGTACATAAACTACTATAAAAAACTGACTATAGCATGATGAAGTTAGGTATGACACCGAGCTTGAGACTGGTGGAATGTTTGCAAGTGAGAGACACGTACCAGCATCATACTCGAGCGACGTTGGAGTTGTTCGTTGCGGGCCTTTTCTTCACGCAAGCGGTCCTTGAGTCGTTGGATTTGGTTTTCCAACTTGGCTTCTTCCTTGGCTTGCACCAACAGGCGAGCGTATCCTTTCTTGGCGATAAACCCACGCCCAAGGCATTGCATCTTGAGCACCGCTTGGCGAATGCGCGCTAGAATATCACGATCAAATGAATGGGAGGAATATGAACAACATGAATATGGCACAGCAGACGACAGAATCGTCACAGCATGTTGGTGGAGATAGGGCTGCTGCCGACAGTCCTCTCTGGGTCGTCGGCAGCAGTTCTTCCTCCACCAACGACGTCTCTTTTAAGTATTAAATCGATAAAGCCAATATAAACAATATAGCAACATATCCGTTGGTTGGTGTCATACCATACGCCGTCCGCGCACGGTACATCTTGACGACGGATTGAATTTGAGTCGCGCGCTTCGTCTGTCGTTTGCCGTGGACAATTTGAGTCGCCACGTAGCATCGGACAGCGCACTGCAGCGTGATGGACGCTTGGCGCATGGCCAAATACCGTTGGCGCACCACAAACCTACATATATACATACATCATATTAGCACTCCACATCAATGACGAGATGATGGTGGTTGTGATATTCAACAACACGAATTCGTTCATCATGATATTGAATCCACAGGGAAATATATCAATCCTGAGCCTACCCTCGCGAATACGCTTGAAGGCGAACCGTGGCGGCGCGAAGGGATTGGAATTGGCTCTGGGCGAGCCATCCTCGCAGCATGCGTTGCAACAGGATCGCGCACGTGTTGCGTTTTGTCGTGCGGAGTTCCTACCATTCGACTCGTCAAGACAACAAATATATATATATATATATATTGGTTTTGTTCGTATATAATATATATATATATACAATCAAAACCAACATGGATGATGATGATGGATCATAGCAGTAGTTGGTAGGTACCTCCAATCGTTCGAGAGCACCGGCGCGGAAAAATACGCGGGTTTTGCCCAATTGGTAGTCGGTTGGTGGCAGCATTTGACCTAAAAACACGTCGCATGCGTCGACAGAGTGACTGGGCGCGAGCATTTGAAATCGATCCAAGCAGTGGTCTTGTGTGAGGCGGTTTGGAAACGCCGATCGGCTGATCTTGACTGCTTCGACGACACCGGCGCATTGCAATTGGCTCGTGACGCTGCTCTATACACGATCAAATGTCATGTGAGAATGGATGGCATAAAAATGCAAAAAAAGGATCAATATTGTCGAGTGTTTTTACTAAACTGGAGCGATATGGCGAAGGAATGAATCAACACAACCAAATATATCGGCAGAAGAAAGAATTCAACCAATCATATTTGCGGGAAACCATCCGCAACAACATTTAATTCGTGCGAGACTATAATTAGTGTGATACCAAACACCACAGGACACTTTATCACAAAAACACAAAATTCAGTACAAAGAATCGATCGACAGGTTTCGCGATTCACACACAATTTTAAGTTTTGGGTAAAAGGATATATATTGTCAAATCGATTTGAAACTGGAGCAGCCGCCAGCAAAATCGATTGTGTTATGAGAATGGGTTAAAGAACCGCCTAAGCCAATCAAATCAAGTTCAGGTAAATTTCTGCCAATCCAAACGTTTGGCTCGGCCCAGTCCCTCCGCATTGGGTAAAACCAGGTATATACTAATCTCTGTACATTATAGTTTATACAAGCTTAAAGTGGAACACAAATAGATTCGAAAGCTATTTGGCAATATGACTCACGAGTCCAAACTTGGGTGAAATGCACAATATATGTATGGAAGTGGGGGTAATATGTTTGCAAAACTACATACCTTGGAGAAAAGCGTATCGCTTTTGGTCGCGTTGGGCTTGATGCAACGAACGTATTGCACGTGGGTACGGCGAATGTCTTCCATGAGTGCGTTCAATTGCGACTTGAACTGGGTGCCCACGGAATCGCCCAAGATCGAATTGGATCGCTTGAGGCGGTTCGTGACGGGTTTTTCGGCTTGCGGGAACAGCGACAGGACAAACGGAGACGTCGACCGGTTCAAGAGCAGCACCGTGTCGCGTTGCAACATGTCCGTGTTCTTGACGAGGAACCCTGCGATACATTGTCAGTACACATATTATCAAGTCGATTCGAAACTGGAGTGGGGGGGGGGTGCTCAATCGAATGAGCAGAAGAACCAAATCGACACGACAATCGATACATCGACCAATCAAAACCCAGAACATTAATATAATGGCCAATCAAATTATCCATTATTCGACCAATTCAACACCGAACTAGTGTGTGACTGGAATTAGTGTGATACTAGACGATCTTTACACACAAAAGTCAGGACAAAGAATCGATCGATAGCTTTGACAAAGAATCAGCACAAAACTCAAATTTTGGGTAAAAGAAAGACAATATGACAATATTCAAACACGTTGAAACAATATTGTGGATTTGGTACAAATTTCCAGACCCCGTCGAATCGAATCACGCCGCCGAATCGAATCACGAATCGACGCTCTTGGCTATTCCAATTTTGAGTGGATTTGATTGGCTCTTACAGAAAGGGCAAGTATAATCAGCCAATCAGGACTCCAGCGTGATTCAATATTGATTAGACCAACCACGCGAATTTTGGAAGTTTATAGCGAATTCACAATACACCATTCACACATATATAAGTACGTACCGCTCGTTTCGTAGACGACTTGTCCAGCGTAATGGAGAATTGTAAAGCAATTGCGCTTAAGACGAGGCAGTTCGAATCGGTCATTGTCGTTGTAGTGCGCCGACAGTTTGTTGGTGAACGCCACGTCCGACCCCTTGGGCCGCATGCACTCTAGTAATTAATATTCGGCCATGAGATAAGACTTGTTCACATGCTCAAAAATCGTACCTTCGTTGAGCAACGCCAAAAGCCCAAAGCGACCTTCAATCAATTCCAGTACGTTCATGTTGTCGGCAAACTCAATCTTGGTCCAAGGGATGCCCTCTTCTTCATATTCGACTTGGATCGACTTGAACACGTCTTGGGTAAACTTTTGCTGCAGCTTTTCGTTGGCGTAGTTGATGCACAGTTGTTCAAACGAGTTGGCGTCAAAGATTTCAAACCCAAAGATATCCAAAATACCTACAACAGTAGCACATGTCGATATATCCATTAAATATTCATCTCATTTTCTTACAAATCCGTTGAGCGACGTGCATCTTGGACGCCGTCGATGCGTTCACGTGCGTGACGAGCCACTCAAACAGCTTGCTGTACAACGCCACCCCCAATGCCGTGCGTGCATTTGTGGCTTGGTCCATCGTGTGTGGAACCTACTTAAGCAAATCAGGTGTCGTCCATATTTATCATTGCAATCCAACATGTCATCACACGAGGTATTACTGTCAAGTCTATTCGAAAATAAAGAGGGGTGGTGGGTGCTCAATCGAATGAACAGAGTCGCCAAATCGGCAGACAATCAGTCGACCAATCAAAACACTGATCAAGTAGCCAATCAAATCCACTCTTCGACTAATTAAACATCGTATGAGTGTGACACTGGACGAATATTTAACAAACAACATTCATAAGACTTGATCGATAGATTTGGCGAATCAGCACAAAAGTCCAAATTTTGAGTAAAAGGACAATACTAGAGTTGTAGACTGTTTTTTCACGTACGGTGTACGTATCCAGCCCCGCCGACATTTGACGGGTACATAAACTCTGCTCAAAGTCCTGTGCGTCCAACCCGAGCAGCTTGGAAATCGCGGCCACCGTCTCCGCCTCGGCCACCATCGCGGCTTGGTCTCCTCCTTTGAAATCCACACGACCGAGGTGCAAAATTGCGGCCACTACGCCAAACACCGACCTACCCCATGCATTACATTGGATTCAATCCACAAAAAAACGGAATTTGACGATGCCATACACGATCAACAGGTTATGATTCGACGAAATGGGTCTCTTCACTCTTACATTTGATCTGACTCGGAAATGCCGAGAGTCGTGAGTCCTTTCAGCGTGCGCTCAAAAAAGTCTGCGTCGGACTCATTGAGGGTGTTTCCGTCGTCTCCAGCCACGCCCCTACAAACAACACGGTTAGCATGACCTGGTAACTAGTATCCTTTTCGCCGAAATTGGGGTAACAAACACCTTGAAATCGATCAACGCAGTATGATTGGATAAAACGAATCATGGTTGCAATATGATTGGCTACAACGAATCAAAATTTACCCAGATACTGCCCCTGAAACTTAGTATCTTATTTTCACAGGTTCGGCGATCGCCATTCAACCAAGAGTACAATATTCAATACGATTTAATTACAAAACTTAAAATTTAAATAAAATTTTTAAAATACCTAAAATAAATACTAATAGTAAGATGGATAATACAATTCCAAACCACAAAAACAAGATGAACGTTGTTCTACGCACCTCAAGAATGGAAACGCGGTCGGGTCAGCGTCTGGGAGTTCCACGCGGTCTCGGAACTCTTGGGGCGCAGCCAAGAGCTGGTAGAAAATGTGGTAATTGCGCTCGCCCTTGCCGTGCGTCGACACGCGGGACTTTTCGAGCAGGTACGTGTTGCACCGCGCCCCCACGAGTTCGTAGTCGGCGTTGAACTGGAGTTCGCTGAACTTGCCGAAGCGAGACGAGTTGTCGTTGCGGGACGTCGTGGCGTTCCCAAACGATTCCATGAGCGGATTCGACTGTAGCACGCGCTCGACAATGTTAAGCGTCAGTTCCTTGTTGTGCGCGTCGCGGTCGCCGGCCGTGGCCAAGTGGGACATGAGGATCTTGGTGGTCTCGGTCTTCCCGGCGCCGGATTCGCCACTCACGAGGATGCTTTGGTTGTGTCCCGTGGTCTTCATGTGATGGAACGCGCGCGCGCTCACGGCGTACACGTGTGGTGGCAACTCGGTGAGTTTGGACGTGTCCAAATACTGATCTTGAACTGTTGGGTTGTAAATGTCCAACCATGTGTACTACATACATGGACAAACGACACGGATTGTATGAGACACAACACAACAGTGGAAGGAATATGTATCATCAAAGACTCTGACGTACGGGGTTCACGGCAATGCAGATGGGACCCGTGTACGTGTAGGGCAGTCCGCCGTGGAAACGGGCCTTGAGGTTGTACAAAATGGCCGCTTCGTGCAGGTAATTCAAATTCACCATGTCTTCGCAACCTTCGTCTGGCAATGCGTTTTGCAAGCACACGCTGTCTTTCTACACAAGCACTGGTCGGTCGAATCACATATCCAGCGTTCGTCGTCGCATCGTGATGTACCGCCACGGTGCGTTGAGTAGGTGTCTGCGGATGATCGTCGAGGTTTTCTTCAGACGGGTCTGGGAACGTCTGGACGTCGATCGTGTTGCCGTTGGACCTGAGAATCTCTGCCGCAATCCACGACACCTTGCTGTCGGCAATGTACACCTACATGCATCCATCCGTCATGCACAACATATCCTACCTTTCCTCCGACTTACTCTGGTATGCTGATCTGCCATGATGCGTTCGTTGCTGTCCTTTCCACGCGTGTACCTCCCTTCGCCAGGATACTAATTGAAAAGTAAAGTCGCCAGGAAATGGTGATAAGGAGAGCGCACTTTATCGGGCATATTTGTCCAGCCTTCTACTCGGATAAACCCGATAAAGTCCGCATTAGCGCGTCGACGAGTGGGATAAACCCTTTGAAGTGCGTATTTCCTCCATCATTTCGTCAGCCCCACACTGAGCTGACGTCCCAACTGACCCCTTGATCCAACTTTAGTGATAATTTGGAGTGTAGGGATACGTACTGTAGTCTTTCTACCTCCGTTCCCATTGACTTCTCGTAGTGTAGGTCATTTGCCTGTACTACTGGAAAGCGGAGCGACACCCCTCATGGACGAAGACATGGAGGATGATGTAGTCACCATGCACATAAACAAGGGTGTTTCTCGTCACACACACACCGTGGTAAGTACATACCAGTACCATAACGTTACTGTGTCGGCGGTGCTGCAGTGCGCTGCAATGTGTCTGTGAGGTGATGGCCAGCATTCACTTTGTATACGTGTAACAACAACAGCACCACACAAATATATATCCCTGTTAATTACTCAAAATTCCCTAGAAATGCAGATTCATTCATCAATACAATTAACGTTATGTAGTCAAGCTTTGCGGTGGTTCACGTTATGCTTGTTTTGGCCTTCCATACTAACTATCGTATACGAGTACTACAGTACAGTAGTAGTATTACGAAGTCAATTCAACCGAGAACAAAGTCGACAACCTAAAGGGGCAAGTAGTAGCCTCGTCAGTTTGCTGGATGCTTGGGTTTGATGGTGGTGGTTTGCCTGTATTCGTACTTAACAGGGATACTTCAAGTCATTGACTTGCCAGATGGTTTTCAACTACGGCATCGTATCCGGACGTCGTATCCGTAGTGTTGTTTCCGGATAATCTCCAACATGGCTCGGACTCTGCGCCTCGTGCAAGTCCTTCACCGCCATGGCGACCGCAGTCCACTGCACAACGTCTTCCGCGGCGGCACGTCAACGCAATTCCAGGCAGAAGATGCCTTATGGACAACAAAGCTGCAGGAACCTGTGACTACGAGGGGCATCTATGGGGAGCTCACCACGGTTGGAGTTGCTCAAATGCAGGCCCGCGGACTCAAGTTGGTACGAATCTAACGTTGCTTGCCAACGATTCCCTGTGTATCACCGACATCATCGCGTAGAGAGATCGGTACCTCGCACTAGGCTGGACCTTGGACGACAAGGTTGATATCCACGTGCGAAGCACGCATTACGTCCGCACCCAACGAAGCGTCCAAGCGCTGTTGTCGCGCTTTGTGCCACATGTGCATGACCAGCTTCCATTGGAGATCCTACCGCCGTCCGTCGACTACATCAATGGTGCGCATTCTCTTCCCCGCCTCCACACACACCTGCTCATACTGCGGATGAAGCGTACAATGCGAATGCCGCGAGCATCATGCCACTCAAGACCCATTTGGTGGAAGCCCATGCCGCTCTGGCCGCTCGAGAAGCGCACATGGCGCCAGTCCAGACAGAGTTGCGGCGACTGCTACCCATGTTTGCTTCGTCCGCAGAGTCATTTTCGTGGATGAAGGCAGCCGATTACTTTGTGTGCCGTCAAGCGCACAACATTCCCTTGCTTCCGCATACCGAGGTTAGTCATACTACGAATAGTATATTTGAGCATACTAGTCTAGCGTTGTCTTGTGGTTAGGAGTTGGCCGACGCTACTACCCAGCACTTGGCGTATCGATTCCACGAGGTAACTGTTAGTAACTTCAATATGTTTGTTATTTCAACCAACTAGTAGTTTTACACGTACGCGCCCATCTTAACACGAGTGAGTGGCCCGTTGGTCGTGCAACTGGTGACGGAGGTAGGTACCGTATATGTACCATTGCATTGTCCTTTTCACGCAAATTTGGACTGAAACCATTTTTGAATAAACTTGGCAATATATCTTGTATTTATTATACTAAAGTGAGTTCAATCTGCAACAGTTTTTTTTAGAAAACGCATTGATTGGCTCAACATATTCAGAAATCTTGTAAAGGGGGTCGAATGGATTTTGATTGGCTAGTGCATTCTCAAATCCATTTGGCAAGTTTATTCGATTTTACTGGCGACTCCAATTACAAACCGACTTATATATGACTGGTGCATGTATGTAGATGCAACGTGTGATGCCATCTCGTGACGTACCCAATGCGACCGATCTCAGCGTCGAACGGGTGGTGGTGTACAGTGGCCACGATGTGTCGTTGCTGGCGTTGCTGAACGCGTTGCACTCGTCGACGCAGCCAACAACCAAGACGGTCGTTGATTGGCCAGACTATGGCGCTGCAGTGACCATCGAGTTGTATGACGAACAAGGCAATAGTGACCAGTGGATGGTTCAAGTGACTCTGGACGGGTCACCCGTGGCCCCACCCGTGGACGCCCAACGCTTTTGTCACGATTTGTTACAGACAGTGTTGCTGCCGAACGATCTCGACGAGAATGACGTAGTTGTGCCGAAATAATGTGCGATGGATTGTGCGTAGTATGAACAGCGACATACGTACTCGAAGTAAATAACTATCAATTTAGAAAACGTTAGGATAGCTTTAACGTCAGATTAACCTCGATACGAAAAAATCACGTACAGTACTTGAAGAAGTATTAGCCTTTGTCCAGTACTAGGTACAGTACGTAATGTAATTCTTCTACAGTGCTGTAGTACGAAGCTTGACATTTGAAAGTGTTAATCCCGCAACAGTATTGCACTACAGTACACTACGCATATTAATACTACGTAGTACGTAGTACTACAGTATGAGTATACGTATACTAATAACTTAGTATACTAAAGCACCAGTCATCGGCAAAGACACCAGTTTTCATCGGCACCGGCTGTTGTAAGCCAATAGAAATGCCCGAATTCCTGTTATTGGTCAAAATGTAGTTCTTTAAGAATTAATGCCCCTAATAAATTAGAGGTAGACCAGTCAATTTTTGTGTTGATCATACAGAAATCGTTACTGTAGCAGTTAATACCCATTCTAAACACATATTCCTTTGATAGCTAATATGATGACAGCATCCCGCGAACTAGAGTGTAGAGGATTCAATACATTACACAAGTCTAAAACGTGTGCCGATGACTGGTGGGCGCCCTGTGAAAAAGGCTACTTTTGAAAATCCTTACTGCACGTGTTTACTACTACGTAGTATTTAAATTGATATCCTTTGAACCGTTCGTAAGCTGAATCTTGCGGTTATTTTGATATTTGTATCACCTGAATATGTGTTGTAGTCAACGAGAAATCGACCAAAGTAAGCAAAGCGCGATGCTGATGACTGGTGACCCAATGAATGTGGTCATCCCTCATTCCACCATCCACCCCGTGTCGGTGCCGTACACCTTCCTGCCGGTGTGATCACGTGGTTGCGCGCCACCGCTTTGGCCCACTAGAGCCGCCACGGCATTGCGACCCAACTGAGTCCACAACATAATGTTAGTTGTAACACGAGAACCACATTGGAAATATTCGGGGTGAGCTCATCAGAGCACAATTCTTCGGAGCAGCATTATACAGAGCTCTACAAAATTCAAGCGTCAAACAGTTAACGTTAGTTCAAATTTGTAGCCCACTGACTGCTGCCAGTGTTTTAGCCAATCGTGAACAAGAAACAAGATACGATGGACTCATATTGGAAAAAGTTTCTAAATGGCTCACCTTGCGAATACAATTGACAAGTCATTGTGCTACAGTAAAACCTCCGGTATAGTTCACGTGCACCATACCAGATATATTTCAACCAGACAGCACAAAGCCTCTTGGAATTCTCTACCGTATTTGTCGTACGTTTGATTCAAGCACGACGGATGACATGCCCTTGAAATGTCGTGAGCATGTTGACTGCGAATTATACTAACAGTAAGTACTGGCAAATAGAATTACAAAGTCATATTTATGTATGTACATGTAAACGTACACGGCCTTGCTCCGACACTCCATACCACCGCATTCTGGACAATCTCGCTCAACCCGCAACAGTGATCTCAAGACTTTTAGGTGGTGGTCCAATTCGCACTAGGGTACGTAGTTAGCCGATACTAGTATGGTCATAACAAAATCACCTCCTCCTCTGAGGAACCCCAACCTCGCGCCCCAGCAACATGTCATCTTTTGCATGGTAGCCACACGCAATTTACATTTCCGCTGCTTACCCGTCATGCAAATTGCCTTCGCCGTTGCTGGTTTGGTCGCGTCCGCTGCGTATACCACCTCCCACGTGCACCCTCGTCATGCTGCTGTGGCTTCCACTTTCTGCACCAATGTGAGCGTCGTGGACGATGCCACGTATTGCGTGCGATCTGCGGCGCTCAAGGCAAGGCATGCCCGAAGAGGGGCGACGTCGCCGTCGTGCACTGCCTCCACATCCTGTTGAGTTTTGTGCGCGCGACTTCCAAGTGCGTCGAATGGGACATGCGAAAGGATCCTGATGCCGTGTCTGAGGACGAATATATTGTGTGGTTCAAGCAAGGGTACGACGTCAATCCCCAGGCCCTGGATACCCTAAAGAAGCGGGTCCAATCTGCTGTTGTTTTTCATATATTGGTCCCGGACGCGGATTCCCGGATCGGACGTATGCTGGATGGTTTGGCTGTGGCTATTCGTCGGGACCGCCAAGAGTCGGTGATTCGAGAAGTGAGCCAGACGATTGTGAAGATCATCACGGACGCCGTCGTGCCTGCGTCGCTACACCGTGCCATTACCGAGCAGATGGCGTTGACGCGAAACACGCCTTTGAAGAAGGATGTGTACCGGTTTGTGCGCTGGTTGCGGCAATATGCGATCCCACACGAGCGTTTTGTGGGTTACGATGAAGAGTTGGAGCCGCCTCAGAAGCCGGACCTACTGAAGCCGCCCGGGTCGAAGGACTTGGGAGTACGCAGGATCCCGAGGGGAGACGCGAAGCCCCTGGCACCTGCTCCGAACGCATCAGCTATTGGTGCACCGAACAACGGTTGTCTGAAGTGTGAGTCGACCAGCCATCGGGTCCGGGAATGTCCCGGAGTCACCCCCTAAGAGGCCAAGCAACTGCTAAGAGCACACAGAAGTACGTTCAAACGTGGTCGAAGCAGCGAGAAAGGAGCCTCGGGAGCACCTGGTGGCCGCGTGGCGACAGTGAAGACCGATGTCCCAGACGGGAAACGGCTTGAGCTCCCGGCTATTGTGGACGGTGTCCTTCCTGTGCAGGCATCACTACTGGACTCAGGAGCTGATTTGTCGGTGACCACAGGAGGCCTGGTTTCTGCACTGTTAACTGCAGGAGCATCCCCGGAGATTACGGTCATGGTCCGATGGAACTCCGACCGTACGGAGTGGACACCCAGGTGATTGCTGTGACGAAACAAGTTCGGCTGGGCAGCCTGGAATTCAGGACCGCTGTGGGCCAATGATGTTACGAGAGCTCCGGGTCTGAGTCAATGATACCGTAGCACCCGTTGAGCTTACGCTGGGCTACAATCAGCAGACGTTGCTGGAGAATGCACGTCGGCAGGAAGCCGTATGGGATTTCGGTGATCAGCCTAACACGACCCCGGGAGTCGCGATGCACCGTACCCACGGATGCCAGAGGTGTCAGACGGTATGGACGACGACGAAGGGATGGCGTGTGCAACGCCAGAACTTGGAAATACGCCTGACCACGATGGTCCGGTGCGTATTGTTCTGGAGTCCAAGGTGGCTGAGGCGGCTACCGCGGGCATGCCAACAGCAGCTGTCGAGCAGCTCCAGGACCTGTTGATGGAGTTTCGGGAGGTGTTCCGGCTGAAGTTCGGAAGAGACCCACCGGTGAAAGTGGAATCGTTGAAGGTGCGCCTCGAGGAAGGGGCTATGCCGGTGAAGTCGGGACTGCGGCGCTACCCTCTCCCCCATATGGCGTTCCTGGAAAAGCATGTCCGGGAGCTGGACAAAGCGGTTCTGGTGTACCGCAACACTAGATCGCGCTGGGTCTCGGCTCCGAGGATTGTCCCGAAGAAGATTCGGGAGACCTCATGACGATTGACTCGAGACCGATCAATGCGTGTACCGAGCCGATGCCCTGGCCCATACCTATATCTGGAGGTGGCCATGGTTGTACTGAAGGTCTCGAAAATCTACTTCAAACTGGACTGGATGAAGGGGTATTGGCAGTTGTCCTTACACCCGGACTCCCAGGGAGCTGCGGGATCAAGCTCAAACCTACAGAAAAATATGTTAAGGGTATATGGCTAACATTGATTA